CTGGGGTACAGGCCAGAGATACGGAGGGTGAGAGGATTCACCAGAGACAGAGCGGGGAGCAGAACAGGCAGGAAGTACACTGCTGAGGGGAGCAGCGGGCGGGTCAGGAGAGGTCTGCCATACCATGTGGAGCTCCTCCCGGGCAGGCGGGGATCGAACTCATGAGGAGTTGGCTTAAGCTTCTTAGTGCAGTGCTTTAACCCGCTGCGCCACCAGGGAGGGCCGAATTATCACTTATTTTTATACTCAAGATTTGTTTGCATTTGTAAACTCAACTACCTAACATTTTGCAAAAAAGAAATTAAGTGACATACTGTATTAGCAATTATTGTGTCTGATTTTAAAAGCACGTGTTTCCCCCCTTATTTTTTTTGTATTTCTCTGACTATACCCACAGAATCCTGGTGCTTACGTAACCCTGATAGCTGGTACATACTCCCTTCATAGGCGTGTACAGTAGAATGTTTAATTGAAATTTATATGGAAAATAAAACCTTTTTTTTACAAAGGAAACGGTACTAACTTTTTTCCTAGTTTATGTAATTTGGTTAAAATTACTCCTTTTTCTGGCCCTCTCTGGTGGCGCAGCGGGTTAAAGCACAGCACTAAGAAGCTAAAGCCGCTTCCGCATGAGTTCGATTCCCGCCTGCCCCGGAGGTGACCACAGGGCGGGCCGAGTGGGTGGGGCCAAAGTGAGCAAAGCAGGGGGCGGGTGTCGTTCGCCCTGAGCCTTTAGGGTTCTTGCTTGTCGCCCACAGATGGGTGGCTCAGCAGGGGCGGCATCACGGCATCTGTTCTGGGCCTGAGCTGCCGAGCGGGGCCGTCTCCCGAGAGCGCCGCCTCCGGCGCTGCCTGCCTGCTGGCGCGGTCGGCCAGCGGCCCGGGACTGCAGCGTCCGCTGCGGGCTACAGTCACTTCAGGGCCTCGGAGCCCCGGAGGCAGCTAGGCGTTTCCCCTGCTCAGGTTTTTAAATGAAATTTGTTTTCATTTTACACCGCTCATGACTAAATAAATAATGGCAGCTGCTGTTAGAGTGAGGCAGGTAATGCCTTGACCCTAAATTCTGCCTCCAGAACCTACTTATATTTTGATTTCAGATAGAACTGTTTTCCATGAAATGTAAAACCTCATTTTGAAGGGAAGTGGTATGAATGCTTTCAGTAATCGCTGCCAAGGAATTAATATGGACGTTCTAGAAACCACTGTCGCTGGTAATCAAAGTGCTTTTAATTTACACTGATGTTGGCATTAACCAGTATTGCCGAATCGGGGGCATAGAAAGAAATTCCATTGAAACTTACCGGGAGCTCATTGAGGCCTGAGGTTTTATAGTGCTTTCTGTGGGCCATTTCACTGCCGGCGACTTTTATTCACATGATTTATAATGCTGAAAATTTCAACTCACTCTTCATTGGAAAGCGAAGTTACTTAAGCTCTCTAAAGACTAACCTTCGGGTAAGTACCCGAAAAATAAAGGCACGTACGGTGTTGCCGGCCCGCTGCCAAAAGATGATCATGTACGTGAATACCTCTTTGATGCTTGCGCTCCAGAGGTCACAGTAGAGACCCGCTCCGGAAACCTGCAGCAGACTCCTGCCTCGTGAGCAGAGGCCGTGCTGGCTACTCGAGGGCGCAGCGCGCCTGGCGAGCGAGGCAGGGCGGCGTTGAAATTCGGCCCATTTGTGTCCTGGGACTTGTCAGCTGTTTTGATCGGGTACTTCTCGCTCGCCCTGCCGGTGTTGACGTGGATCCCCAGCCTGGACCTCCTCGTTGACGCACCTGCTCTGCAGGGGACGCTGGGCAGCCGCCTTCCACCTCGTTTGAAACGGATCTAACAGTCGGCTGAGTGCCGCGTTAATGCCCCACGGCGGCGTCCTCTCCTTCAGCGGCCACTGTTTCATGCGTGGGTGCACGAGTCTGTGCAAGGACTTCCTGGAATTCATTAAGACAAATTACTACCTTTATTTTCTCGCCAGCACCCCGTTCTTTTCTTGTTTGCTAATTTTGTTCTCTGGATTTTCCCTGAGATGGCTTTTACTATCGGGCTGCTTGCCAAGCCCCGCTCTGACCGGTGAAGTGCGAGTCCCAGGGAAATGACAGTTAACTAAGTGAAGGGAGCTAAGACCCCTTCCACTTTTTGAGGGACAAACATTTCACCGTGCTCACTATATTTTTATAGTGAATATCCGTGACTGATCAGGAATTCAGTGTTTTAAAGAGCTCTCCAAGGGTGCGGTCGTTTAAAAACAGCTGATAGAGTGGAGCCGGCGTGTAGTGAATGTCTACGTTAACTTCAGCTTGGGGATTTGCATATCCCACAGAACCATCGCAGCAGTCAGGAGAATGGGCACAGTTACCGCTGCCCGCATTTGCTTCCTAATTCTTAGGTAGCCTCGCCTGTCTCCTCCTTCTCCCACCACGCTGACTTCACAGGGAACCCCTTCTCAGTCTTCTGTCACTATAGATTGGTTAACATTTTCTATTCTTATGTAAATGGAAACATACATAAAGTCTTATTGGCTTTATTCTTTAACTCAACATGGTTTATTACGAGTTTCATCCGTGTTGTATATATAAATAAATGATTCCTTTTTGTTGAAAGGTGGTATTCTATGACCTGCAATATCACAAGTAAGATTCGTCTGTGAGTTGACCTCTAGCTTATTTCTCGTTTTCTCATCTGCCCCTTGTCTTTTAAGTTTTCCTTCCTGCTTTCCACCTTCTCTCTCTTGCATTTTTTTTTTTACATTTATTTATTGATGCATACAGAACTTGGGTACAGGCCAGAGGTGCAGGGGCGGTGAGAGGATTCACCGGAGTGGGGAGCAGAACAGGCAGATCAACAAAGTCCACTGCTGAGGGGAGCAGCGGGCGGGTCAGGAGAGGTCTGCCGCGCCGTGGTCACCTCCGGGGTGGAGATTGAACCTTTGTGGAAGTGGCTTTAGCTGCTTAGTGCTGCGCCTTAACCCGCTGCGCCACCAGGGAGGGCCTCTCTCATGCATTTTAAACTTACATCAGCCCTTGGCCTGGCTCTTGAGTAGTTTAGACTTGTCAGTATTTGGCTTCTTTTGAGTCTGTAATCAAAACAGAAGTGTTTACTAAGTGATTTTCAATGAATTATCACTTTTTTTTTTTTAAAGATTTATTTATTTATTCATACGGAACTGGGGTACAGGCCAGAGATACGGAGGGTGAGAGGATTCACCAGAGACAGAGCGGGGAGCAGAACAGGCAGGAAGTACACTGCTGAGGGGAGCAGCGGGCGGGTCAGGAGAGGTCTGCCATACCATGTGGAGCTCCTCCCGGGCAGGCGGGGATCGAACTCATGAGGAGTTGGCTTAAGCTTCTTAGTGCAGTGCTTTAACCCGCTGCGCCACCAGGGAGGGCCGAATTATCACTTATTTTTATACTCAAGATTTGTTTGCATTTGTAAACTCAACTACCTAACATTTTGCAAAAAAGAAATTAAGTGACATACTGTATTAGCAATTATTGTGTCTGATTTTAAAAGCACGTGTTTCCCCCCTTATTTTTTTTGTATTTCTCTGACTATACCCACAGAATCCTGGTGCTTACGTAACCCTGATAGCTGGTACATACTCCCTTCATAGGCGTGTACAGTAGAATGTTTAATTGAAATTTATATGGAAAATAAAACCTTTTTTTTACAAAGGAAACGGTACTAACTTTTTTCCTAGTTTATGTAATTTGGTTAAAATTACTCCTTTTTCTGGCCCTCTCTGGTGGCGCAGCGGGTTAAAGCACAGCACTAAGAAGCTAAAGCCGCTTCCGCATGAGTTCGATTCCCGCCTGCCCCGGAGGTGACCACAGGGCGCGGCAGACCTCTCCTGACCCGCCCGCTGCTCCCCTCAGCAGTGTCCTTCGTCGATCTGCCTGTTCTGCTCCCCACTCTGTCTCTGGTGAAGTCGTTCGCCACCCCTGAGTCTCTGGCCTGTACCCCAGTTATGTATGCACAAATAACTCTTTTTTTAAAAAAATTACTTTTTCTTTCCTTTGCAAAGACTAGAAGCACCATGGGTGTCCTACTGTGAACACAGATTTCAGAGCAAATCAGATTCTCTTCTAGTCACGTGGTGTCAGGCAAGCTTTGAGCTTGTCCAAGGCCCAGGTCTGAGCTTGTCCTGTGTAAAATAGCTGACCTCTGATGCAGAGTCATTAGCGGTCTCTCACCATCATGATCGTTAATGGTGACCCGGATCCTGCCTTTGGCCACAGGCTGGCTAATTCTCACCTTGCACCTGTTACCTTGGTAATGTTGGAACAATGCCAATCTTTTGCTTTTATTAAAAATTTTAATGAGATTGTGTAATGTATGATTTTATGAATAAGAAATTTTATGTTTCATGTAGAATGTCTTTCCGATACTGCAATTCATGACCTTTTGCATGTGTTTCTTATCGGAAGAATATCAAAGAACATCCCCACAACAAAGGATGTGGAGCCGTTGCTTGAAATCGATGGAGACATACGGAACTTTGAGGTGTTTTTGTCTTCGCGGACCCCTGTTCTCGTGACTCGAGATGTGAAGACCTTTCTGCCATGTACCGTGAACCTAGACCCCAAGCTGCGGGAGATTATTGCAGGTGGGTGTCAGTGGTGAGTTTAATTTTTCTTTAAGTCTGCAAAAATGTTCCTGTTTCTGATGTAGCTGTATAAATGTCTCCTGCTCCATTCAAAACACAAAGCAAAAACCACACACCAAGAAATACCGAGCGAAGCCCTCACGACACAGGAGAATCAAGGAAATGGAGGCGGAGGAGTCTCGCATCCCTCAGAAATGTCAAGAAAATGCCACGTGGGAAACTGGCTTTGTTATGTGTCCCAGCCCGCACGCCTCAAGCCTTCCGTTCCATTTCTTTCAGCAGCTGTCACGGCTTTAAGAGTCAGTCCGAGCGAATGTTCGTAATAGGCCGGCTAGCTGGGGGGAGGGAAGCTTGATAGTGCTTCGAAATTTTTAACTCAAATCTGGGGGCTACCCTCGGGTTTCGGGTCGTTCTGGTTCTCGAGACGCCAGCTGTGCACCCCGCCGCAGCGCCTGTCGCCACACACCCGCCCCGGCTGCCTGCGGCCCTGGCCGCCGACCCCCGTTTCCGGGAGCCCCCGGGCTACTCCCATGGCGCCTGGTGTTTGTTAAGAATCCTGTGATGAGGCTGATTGCAGGTGTGTTTTGCGGGAGCTGTGGTTGGTCACCGGTGGGGGGCCGTGCCCCCTGCCCACAGTCTGATGTCGGTATTCGTGCCAGCCAGTGGGAGTCTGGAGCCGCCAGTGCTACTTGTGAGTCAGGCACAAACAGCGGAAAGGTCAGAGAAAAAGCTCAAGTTCTGGAGAGAAGAATCCTGATGTCGGCCGCTTTTCAAATGGCGAGAAAAGCCGAGGATTTGGTCTCTTCCCACTAGGGTGTCCACAAACGTGGACGATGCCCGGCTGCCCCTTGCGGCGGGGCCAGCGAGAGTTAGAGTCGCGCTCATTGGTGCCGGAGCACGACGTGGGCGGCTGGACTGGTCACTGACTCCGTCTCCTCTTTGTCTTCTGGGGTCTACTTGCATCTCGCAGACGTCCGTGCGGCGAGGGACCAGATTAACATCGGCGGCCTGGCGTACCCCCCGCTGCCGCTGCACGAAGCCCCCCCCAGACCGCCTTCTGGCTACAGCCAGCCGCCTTCCGTGTGCTCCTCGTCCGCTTCCTTCAGCGGGCCGTTCGCAGGCGGGGTCGTGTCCCCGCAGCCCCACAGCAGCTACTACAGCGGCATGACGGGCCCCCAGCACCCCTTCTACAACAGGGTAAGGGCCGCGCGGGACCGTGCCGCTTCGTCAGGGTGGAGCGGGAATCTCTCATGGGCTGGGTTGCGGTGTAGAAACGTGTCAGTCTGCCCGAGTTTTACATGTCTTTTTTTAATCAAGAGAGCCCTGAATTGTAGTGAGCTCTAGATCTCATTTGAATCCGAGAATTAGACACTGTTTGCTTTTACTGTCTTGCTAAAAAGTGAAGCCACAGGTCTGTGGCTGCATTTGCTTCCAGGGACAGGGAGCTGTTCCTGTATTGCCTGGAAACAGTGTGCCATCTTGGCTCCGTCTATACTGACATTGAAAAAGATGCACTTAGTCTGGGCTCTCGCCTTTACGTGTGAGATCATGATGAGGCCCAGATGTCATGGCCAAATGATGGCGCTGTGTCGTTCCAGGTGAGCTCCAGGTGTGTACAGCTGTTTACTCAGTAAGGTCGGCCATGAGTTCGAGCAAGTTAACAGCTCTGCTGCTTTAAGACCATCAAAAGAGCTTAACTAATATAACAATCTCAAAATTTAAATGTCGTAGGTCGGGTTTTGAGATCCTATGGGATATGTGTGAGGCTTCTTTTCTTTCGTTTTTACATGTGCATTAAAAATTTTGGAGTTGTGTTTTATTGTTTAGTTTCATTTGATAAATCTCATTACACTTTGATTTCTGTAATTGTTTATCCCCTTCTTTTGTTACGTGTTTTTTCCATAGCCATTCTTTGCCCCATACCTTTACACGCCAAGGTATTACCCTGGCGGTTCCCAACATCTCATCTCACGTCCATCAGTAAAATCGAATTTGCCCAGAGATCAGAGCAATGGCCTAGTAAGTATAAAAAGGGTAACTAAAGTATTAATCTAATGGAATCGTAGATGGCATTAGTGGTTTGCTTATTTCCTTTCCTAGTAAAAGCATAATTTACTTTCTAAATAATATTAAGAAATATAGCTATTACTAACATAAGATGTATGTTGTTTTCGTTTCTGATAAATATCTTGGGCAGAAAAATGAGCGGCAAGCCCAGGGAGTAAGTGCTCAGCTGTTTACAACCTGAGTTAGCTTGTAATGTAATAATGTTTGTTATCAAAACTTTAAAAAGTAAACCTTTGCATCTGCTAACTTTGAGCATTGTTTTAAAGGACGTAAGTATATGGTAGCTGTATATATGTTAGCCCTGTCATGTACAAACTGAAGGATCTATTGGCAGAACACTGCAATGCAGAAATTAAATAGGACAAGGAAAGTTACTCAAATATGGAACCTTATCCAAAGCAAAAAAAAATTTGTGCCTAAAATCTGAGGTGTTCCTGAGGATAAACTTAACAATTAAAAAAAATCCTGCTGATGTATTTTTATGAGTTAGGAGATAAAATCGGTAGCTCTTACACTGGCCTCTACATTTTCGGTCAGTCGCTGAAGGAAGCATCTAATCCGGTACAGATTTCAGTGTCGTGTATTGTTATTTTTACATCGTGTTCATTCATCACCCTAGTTTGGCTCATCCCCTCATCTTTCACCGACACTCTTGTTTTGTGTTGTTAGGAGGTTATCAAGGAGGACGCTGCTGAGGGGCTCTCTTCACCCACAGACTCCTCGAGGGTAACGGAGTAGTCCTGTGGAGTGAGGCGCCAGCCACTCGTCCCCTGTGGCAGCAAGCCCTGTCTAACTGCTGATGGCAGTCCACTAACTGCGCTGTGGTGTGATGGCAGCTAGTCAGAGTAGCTGAGTACTAATGATTAAGTTCGTGGTTCCTCAAGCAGCTAATGTTTAACTTACCCTTTATTTCCTCCTGCTTTCCCCCTTTTTCAGTGACATGGGATGTTTTGTTTCAATCGTTCAATAAGGAAGAGCTTTTCCAGGAGGCATCAGGAGCGTATCAGTTGGTGGTATTCGATTCTTAGTGTTGAGCTCTATTTTCCCATGTGGCTGTTTTTTTTGAAGCCCGAGTTTGGGTCTACGCATGTAGAGTATTTTTGAAAATATCCAGAATAACCTTTGATATTACCAAAAGACATTATCAGCTAGATGGCATCGACCTAAAATAGATCTTTAGGGACTCATTTTTCACCTAGGTGTCCACAGCTCATAAAGCCGTGTATAAACGCCATGCTTTTCTTTATCTGTATAAATATTAAAATAAAATCTACAGATAAATGCAGAGCTGTTCAACACACAAGGGGAATTATTTTAAACTTTTGACAACACTCTAATGTAGGTTTCTTTTTAAAAGAATGAGCTTAGATAGAAGTCACTTTGTATATTATTCAGAACTTTGTACTTAGTCAGGGATACAGTTAACGTGATGAACTTTAAAATCTTCATTTACTAAGGCAATGGGAAATTTAAAACTAATTTGTTTTCTAACTTTTAATTACAGAATGTTACACCTACATAAACATCAGCGATTTCATCTAAAGCTATGCTAAAATGTGGCATAGCGGCTAAAATTGTTGTGCAGTTAAAATTATCTACATCCTAAGTTTGTCCATAGTTTTTAAGTTAAAACATATATATGGGTGAGCCGTGTTTTAACTTTCTTTGAGTTAATAAGACAGAGGAAGGGAACATGGTTCTTTTTGACTCATTCACTTCTCAGTTGAAGTGTTTGAGTGACTTCAGTTATCCAACAATGCAAGACACTGGAAGCCAGAATAATTCTATTTGGATGTCAGGGGATGCTTTCATTTATGCGCCATCACCACTGTGTGGAAGGAGGATGCATGGTTCAGTCAGAGAGCTTTTACTAGGGATTCACACATGCAGTGCAATTCTCTGGGTTTAGATTCATCAGCAAACTTTTGATGACAGTCTGTGAAGAATTGTACGGCCTTCTCAGACGGGCTGAGAGAGTAGCGATATCCCTTGTGTACAGGGTGAACAGACACTTGTGATGAAAGCTTCTTGTTTCTTTCAGGGACCAGTTTTGGGGAAGGGGGAATAATGAGATTCTCGAGAGTCTGTAGAACAACCAAGAAAAAAGGGGTCTCCCTTGCTAGCGCCTCTGCCTTTCTGTAATCAGATAACCGGCTCTTTGCTGCTCTTTTAACATCAAAAGTAGTTTTGCGATCTTAGATGCTTACCAAGCTTTCTTTGCTTTTAAGAATTTAACAATGACCATAGCATGTAAAATTTATTTTGTAGATTAGCAACAAGTAGACAGTTCAAAACTAAATCAAAAGCAGTGGTGGAAATACAAAGAAATGTCTACATGTGGGCACATTGCCTGGGGCCTGTGTAGCTGACCAGCATGGGCTTAGTGTCCAGGCTGCTTAGCCCTTTGTGACTTCCAGCCCTGTCAGAAAACCCTCTGCATTTCTGGGGTAACAGGGCTGCTGACTGAGCCCACTGCTGCTGCCCAGCTTGTGCAGTACCTGGCTCCAGAGCTGCTGCTGCTGGAAGGTAGTTTGGGAGCTACAGAAATGCTTTTGTCTTGTCATTACTGACAGAATCACGAGCAGCAGCAGCGAGAAGCCACCAGAAGGCCAGGTCACAGGCTGTCGCCACACCAGGGGCATTTTCTCCCATGTGGTGCTCCCATCTTTTTTTACCACAAGAATTTCTGAAAAAGCTTTTACGTAGCCGATCCTTGTGAACATGCCTGGGCCTTCTCATGTAAGGGCCGTAGCTGGCGAAAGCCATCCAGGACTTAGCAGGTAAATACTAGCTCCGGCCCAGCATTTTCCCAGTCAAGATGCGAAATGCAAGTCTGTGTACTCACATTTTTATTGAGGAGTTTGTCATAGAGAAAACACCTGCCAAACCTTGTAAACCAGGGCAAGTAGATCAGCACTGGGCCCAAGAACACGAGAACCGGAAAAGACCAGTGTCCCTCAGTGTGTGAGGCAGAGGCGTGTGCTCTGGAGTTGGGGTCTTCGGCTTTTACCTGGTGCCTTTACTTTGTCTCAGCGCAGTTCCTGCAGGGCAGGCTGGGCACGGGGTGAGCCAAGAGGAGGCTTCTCGGGGCCTTTTGTGCATTGCTTCCAGAACTGCACTTCCGAGGGGTGAGTGTTCCTAGTTAAGGCATGCTGCTCTGGGGTGAACCAGCGCTTCATCGGAAAGCATTTCTTCAGAGGCAGGAGCCGCGTGACGTTTCTCTGCCCTTTGTCCTTCCTTGAGTATGTGGCACAGGGTACCTGTGTGATGGGCCGTTTGCTGGCTCAGGAGACTCACTGTTTGCCAGCCAGGCTGCAGTCTAGTGGGCAGTGAACAACTGAGGCGTCCCGCCCTCAGGGCGCCACAGCTCTGAGGCCTACCAGGGAATCCCCAATACCACTGAGCCGCTCTTTCTCTGCCACAGGCTTCTGGAACCCTCCAAACAGCTTTATTTCGATCACTTTTGTAGCTCCTTGGGAAGACAGGAAGGTCATTCCTTAGCACAGAGTCAAATTGTAAAGAACTTAGAATCGCAAGGCACAAACCCTGATTCCAGTGGGCTGTTACTTTTATGCGGAGAGGCTGATGGAAAGCGCTAAGTTAAAGAAGGTGCTAAGCACGAAGGCTTTGGTTTTCATGAACCTGGATCCGGTCAGTGGAATGATTATGTTGAAGGTAAAAAAAGATGGGGCTCAATTGGTAATTTTTATTTCCACCACTGGTTTAGAGCTTGTACCCTGTTTTCAAACAAACACACGCCCACATCAAACTGTCTCTCGTTGTTCAGGAGCAGGCTTGGAAGCGCAAGTTAAAGATGCTGTGGGTAAGGAGCGGGGGGGCCTCGGGCAGCCAGGCCGCCTTCTCTGTCGGCTCTCCACCACGCCTGAGAAGGAGCAGCCACGCTTCGGGAGTAGTTTAGAAGTGCATTTTTAAAATTCTGCTTCCAGTCAGGAAAGGGTCAGCTTCTTTCCTTCAATAATACAGCGAAACATTGTTCTCTCGCCCAACTCGAAAGCACGGTGTTAAACTTCAAGTCGAGGAAACATTTTCCCTAAACAGCTAGTGGGTTACACGAAACTGAGATATTTACACAGAAACAGGATGTTGGAGTGACGACACCCGAGAAACCCCGAGAACAGCTAAAAACGAGCAGCCACACTCGCCGCAGGTGACTCGTCCTTGGGGGTTTGGAAGATCGCCCTTCAGTGTGGCGGCGGGACACCCTGGGCCTAACTGTTATTTCTCGTGGAGGTTTTCGAGGAAGTGACATTTTCTAGCTGGGTGAACAATAGCTTTCTTTGTGTTTTGGGTATGTGTTCTAAACTGTAATTTCATTAGCACATGCTGGTATTGTTTAAATCTCCACAGACGTGGACACGCACAGACACCGACACACACACAGAGTTTGACAGATGCCTGTTTATAGGAAGGTTGATGCAAACTAGAAAAATACAGGTTCCCGCACCCGCGGCTCTGGCCGCTGGAAGGAAACGTGTGCGTGAGGCCAGACGAGCCCGCCCGCTACCGGGGGGCGCTGACCGCCCCTGCCAGCCCTCGCTAGGTCACTTCACCTGTTTAAGACTATTCACCACCAGCTTGGGTGTTCAAAATACTATGTGCAGGTGTCTCTTCGGATTGGAGCTTAAAAGGAGGCTCGTTACTCAGAGCATGCAGGCGCTGGCTCTGCCCCCTCCTGACGGCCCCGGCGGTAAGACGCGTCAGCCTTTCCCTCGCGGGGCGTTGGCCACGTCCCCAGTGGGACAAAACCCAGATTTGAAAAGGCTGAAGGAGGCCCGAGCTAGCTGATGAGGTGCGAACTCCAGGCGCCTCAGCCTCATCGTTAAGCGGGCTCGTGTTAGTTGTAACTTGAATCAGACTGTGGAGTGAAGCCTGCGGGTGCGGGGTCACGGGTTCATAGCTGACTCGGTACCTGGCTTCGTGTCGAACGATGGCACGCGCGTTGCGCCTTGAGCCCCGAGAGCACTCGTTCCCGCGGTCACGCAGCCTGGGCAGCCCCGCGGCCGCTTTGCTGTCAGAGGCGGTGTGTCGGGAGAGGAGTGAGGGGTGCTGGCTGCGCGGATGATGAATGTATTATTTGACGTTTACTTTAAGGTCAAGTCCTTCATTCTCTTTTATTCCTTCCCTAAAGCCGTGTGACTCTGGGTTTCACAGACAGAGACAGGTACAGAACCTTCCAGTGAGATCTTACTTTTCTCAGTAGACTCTTAGCAGAACTCACTGGCCGCTTCTGCTGGGCTGTTTATAAAACTGTGCTCACGTGGCTTTATTTCAGTAGCTGCTTCCAGCCCGTGCATGGCCCTCGCTTCTGCTCACGTCACTCGCTCACCAGGCTGGTAACGGCAGAGCGTAGCTTTAGTCCTGCTTACAGCAGGAGACGGCAGTTTCGCCTGGTAATCGTCTGTTTTGTCAGCTTTTACTTTTATCTGAAAAAACTCTGACTCGTGTGCAGTTGAAAGTTTATTTAACAACGTAAACAAACTAACATCTTCTGTATTCAACTTTTGACAAAAAAAAACTTTTATAAACTGATGTATGCTGAAATTGCTTGTTCTTGACTTACAACAGGTAAATTTCAAGTAAGAGTAATGAACAGGTTTTAAAATGTCATCACTCTGTGGACTGGCAAAACAATGTAACTAGTTTTCCATTAAGAAGTAACTCTTGAACCTGCTTTTTCCTAACCACGTGTGTTTACTTCCCCCTTCCTTTTATGAGACTTCTACCCAGAAATTCACTTGGCTTCAAAATAACTTTGTTATGCCTGATTATTTTAGAAAACACCTGACAGGTAATTGCCCTTTTTTCTTAGTCAATGAAGTATGTTTAGACATTTTAATTTATTGAAAATGTACCCCCAAGTTGATCAAACTCAGTTTACAAATGATCAAGACTCGGTGTAAGCTTTGGAGTTCAGGGAGCTTGTGTCTGTCTCACGAAGCTGCTAAAATCATTCAGAGATAGTAGGTGCTTTCTACCTTATTCCCATGAGGCAAAGCTATGTTTTTAAAAATAATTAATAAAATGTAGCCGTTTTAAGGGTCAAGGAAATAAATTACGGGGAGTTTTGCTTGTTGAAAGGAAGGGCCTCCGCCTCTGTGGATGAGGTGCGCGATCGATGGACACCCGGCGCCCGGCTGCTGACGGGTCACCGCCTCTGTTCTATTACATTTTTACCCTTTTTAGCACAATCAGAAAGAGTTCTTTTGCGACTGAAGGAAAAAAGACTTTTTACTTTAAAGTAATTGTAGGTTTAAGAAAAGGCGGCGCCGGTATTCCCAGCATCGCATCGTTAACCTGCCGCAGTGGCTTCTGGGGACTCGCATCGGCGCAGTGCTGCCAGCTACCCGCGGACTTTGCTGAGCGTCACCGTTGCCCTTTGGCTGCCTCAGGTGCGGCCGTGACCACGCTATTCCTCCAGGAAGCGCTTCTTATCCCGGGGTGCTCCCTGGGCATCCCGGTCACCTTTGCGCCTGGGTCCCGGGCTCCCGGGGAACACGAGTGGGCATTTTGCAGCTGCTGCTCCGGTCCGTCTGCTGTGTCCCCTTGACTCGGACTAGTCTAGAGGACCCCAGGATTGGCGCGCTCCCTCCTGGGGCGTCCTGCCAGGGCGGCGATGCCCGGTCTCGCCCCTGTCATGGCCTCACCCATGCAGCCAGGGGACGCCTGCCAGGTTTCAACCCTGCAGAGCTTTGCTTTTCCCTTGTCACGAATAACGACCTCGGGGTAGAGACCGTGAAAGTCCTCAGGTTCCCGTTTGTGCCCGTTCGCTTCAGAGCTCTGCTGCCTCATGTCCCACACGGCCCCTCACTGTGTCGCCTAGCGCGCTTTCTACCTCCCTCGTCGGCGTTTTTTGAGGAACCCTGGAAGGAAAGTGTCTCTTCTTCCTCACTTGCGTACTCGTTCAGTTACTCAGATCAGTTTGAACTGTTGTTCATGGGATCATTATCTTGGTAGTCAGGTGTTGATTTGTGATTTTCTGACCAAGAAAATAAGAGACTCTAGGGAAAAGACCCAGGTGGAGGGATTAAAATGTTTGAAATACAGTCTTAAAAGATCACTTAGAAGATAAGTATTACTCAACACTAGAAACTAATGAGCTGCTGACACGTGCTTACCACGGCCACGCCTTGTCGCCAGCCGCGGGCTGCGCGCAGGTTTAAGTCAGAAGTGAGAGTCGTGGTTGCCCGCGGCTGCAGAGGGTGTTGGAGGGTGGAGGGTGACTGCCCGAGGGCACAGGGGCTTTTTAGAGGGGTGATCCGTGCGGGACGGTCTCACAACCAGGCAAGTAGACGCGGAGGCGTTGAACTGTACACTGCAGGGTGCAGCATGTTGCTATTTCAGTCAGGCTATCTTAAAAGGAAGAAAAGTTAAAAAAAGTTCTTGTTAAGAATTCTCAAAAAGCGTTTCAAGTTCCCAAGTGGACACAGGGGCACTTTGGACGCCAGCTGTGTTCGCAAGGCAGGAGGAAGCGGGCAGGGGCTGGCGTATGTTTGGGCAGCTGAAGCTCAGACCGTACGGTCGATGGCGAATTGTGAATTTATATTTAATTAAAAGCAAACTAAATTAACAGTGTTTGGTGCGGTAGAGTGCAAGTCATTCGTTTCCAAACTCTTACGATCCAGTTTATAAATCTGCTGAGGCTCCCTGACGCTCATCAACTTGGTGCCCAGCTGTGTTTGGTCCGTCTCGCTCCCTGGCAGTATCGGGGCTTACGCATACGCACACAAGGTGAAGGTGTGTGTGCTCTGCGCTGTGGCCCTCCGTGGCCCGGCAGGGTCCCACGACCCGCCTCTGTGGCGCTGGGCGCCGTGGCCGCCTCGCCCTGAGAGGGGGAGGCGGCAGCGAGCCGAACGCCGTGCCGGGAGCGGGCAGGTAGTGAGAGCGGCGTCACCAGAGCGTTATGCTCTGGACAGCTGCCGGCCTTGTCATTGTGGCCGTTTCTGGAAGCGTTTCTAGCATAGCCAGCTAGACGAGGAGTTAGGACGTGCGGGGCTCCCGTCCACACCTGCCACCGACTCGCTGCCTACCCCGGGGCCCCGAGGCTGTAACTTCGCCTCTCGGCCTCAGTGTCCACACCCGCAACTGAGGAGATTCGTAGCCCCCTCGGGCAAATACTTCTTGTCACCGCACTCAGAAAATGTCCTTCTGGGATTGTTTGTTGTCTTGACTTCTCTTAAGCCAGACTACATTCTAAGGCGTGTGTGCTGTCCCAGGTGTCAGGAAGTAATCGTGTTTTAGGGACCCGGTCACCATGCCGATGGCGAAGGGAGGTTCTAGATCCGTGGATGTAAAAGACTTTACGAGAGCTGACGCCGGTCGCTGCTGCAGCCCGCGAAGGTCGTCTGTGGAGCGGCTGAGCCGCCGGTGCAGGCACTGGAGCTACTGCAGCCTTCAGCTTTCGCCGTATCCGCATCGGGGCGCCATCCCCCGCCCCCGCCCCGGCTTCTTTTCCTTTTAAGCCCAACATGCCCCACCCTACCTTCCTCCTAACTGACTGCCCCTTCCCTGCGAGGCTGAGCTGGGAACTTTTGGCCTAGGCTTGGTCTTGGGCGCGCCTGGCAGAGGACAGTGGTGTGGGTCAGTCAGTACCTGCTAGTGAACGCTGCGCCTCGCGGAACGCAGTCGCTGCACCTGTGCCCGGCACCCCGGCACCCCACAACACACACGCGCTGTTTTCACTTGGTTTGAAAGTGTGTGAAGCAGAGGGCCTCATGAGCGCCGCTGGCAGGGACTGCGTCTGGCAGCCAGGTGAGTCACACGTGTTTCTCTGCGGCTTACCCAGGGGTCAGGCTCGGCCTCGGGGCCAGCGGTGTCACTGAACTCCATGAATGTGGACGCGGTGTGTGAGAAGCTGAAGCAGATAGAAGGCCTGGACCAGGGCATGCTGCCCCAGTACTGCGCCACCATCAAGAAGGTGAGGCGCCGCGGGCGGGCTGGGGCGGGCCTGGGCGCCGGGGCGCTCCCCACCGCTCAGGGGCCTCTGTGCCAGGGAAGGCCCCGCGGGCCCTCTCACTCTGCAGCCCCACATCGCCCCGTTTACCCTTAGTGTGTAGGTGGGTTAAAGAAGAGATGGCGGCTGTGTGACAGTGCTGCGTGAAAGACGCCTCAGGGTAGCCAGGGTGCAGGATGAGGAATCCAACCCGGCTTCTCCTTGGAGAAACGACTCCGATTTCCCACAGCATGGACCAAGGCCTCGTACATTGCATTTCCTTTATTTGTAACATGATCTGCGACTCAGTGATTACCAAGGCAGAGCAGCCACACCCCAGGCCCGGGGGCTCCGGGAGGCACACCCGCTTTGCCATGCTCGTAACTCCTGGCTTGTTGGACAGCCGCGCCCGGGGCTGTGAGAAGCCTTTCCCTGTCCCCGTCTAACAGTCACTCGAGACATTTCCACTTGGCTACACGTTTCCTGCCAGAGCTTACACAGGTAGACAGGCGTAGCAGGCCTCCCAGTTGCGTCAAGAGCAGCGTCTGAAGCTTCCAGAGAATGATGATATGCAGAGGAGCCGGCTGACCGGCCCTCACCCACGCTCAGTCAGAGAGGTTCCGGGTAACGCGTCTCTGCGGACCTGGTGAGCGGTCACCCAGTTTGCCAAGGGACGCAACTCGCACATGCGGACCCGAAGAGCGAGGCTCCGGGCAGGACCGCTCTGTGGCCGCGTCCCCAGCCACACGGCCTCGGCCGCCCACCCAGCCCTGGCCCCGTGGCTCTCTGAGCCCGGTCAGCGCTCTGTGGCCGGGCTGCTGTCCCAGGCTGCCCTGCCCACTCCCCTTTGAGGTTCACTGGAAACTGAATGTGCTGACGGCCCAAGACACCGGCATTCACAGTGTCCCCACGTTAGTAAGTCAGACTTTGTGTTTGATGAAATCAGTCAACACCTGTTGTTGCAGAGAACATCCCAGTGTTTTGTTTGGGGAAACTAGAAACAGAGAGTCGCTAAAAAGGCAGCACTTTTTGTGAGTTTCGTGGACTGGGAGATTAGCAGGCAGGCGCCCTCTCTGGGAGTCACCCGGGCAAGCCCACACCCCGGTCCAGCGAGCGGACACTCCCAGCCCGCCACATCCGCGCTTTTCCAAGGGCCCCGAGAACTCTCAGTTTGCTAATCACTCATCTTCAGACTATCTCCCCTTCTGGTCATCTCCCTGCTTGTTCTTCCTTCTGCGCAGGCAAACATAAATGGTCGTGTGTTAGCCCAGTGCAACATCGACGAACTGAAGAAAGAGATGAACATGAACTTTGGAGACTGGCACCTTTTCAGAAGCACGGTAAGTGCCTCATAGTTGTAGCCCGTTTACAGCATGGCTTAGGCAAGTACTGGCCGCACCAGCATCTTTCTATGTTTTACAAACACACGTCGGGCTGCCGCTTATGGTGCCGCGAGCCACGTGTGCTGTTATGTAGCCTCCACGGCAGCTCCAGGCAGCCTTCGCCTTCTGGGCGTTTCACTGGAACGTTGGGAAGAGGCGGCCCAGTTCCGGTGCTTTCCCGGACAAGGACTTGCTCTGACGCTAACTGTCGTCGGTCCTCTGGGCCTGGCCATCACGTCTGTCAGGCCTGCGCGGCGTTAGGAGTCTGTGCATCGGTCAGGAAAGCACCCCGCCCTGGTGTCTGATAATGCTGGGTTCTGGCCAGCTCCTCGCCCAGCTCAGCCCGAATCCCGCCCGTTGGGCTGCCAGAGCCCCCCGCTTCCATGTCCCCTAGATCCCCCCAGCCGCCCCCGCCCACCACGTCCCCTAGCAGTTCTCAGCGGCCGGCGCCGCCACTCGGGCTGTCCGTGCCGCCTGCGCACGCTGCCCGGGGCGGGCTTGGCTCGCACTCGCCCTGCTGCTGCGGGGTCTACTTAGGAGCGACGCCAGCCGCTGTCCTGCTCTGGTTTGCTCCCGCTGCGCTTTCCCCCGCAGTGGTGACGTGATGGCCAGCTGCCTTAGCGCTCTATGGCTCCACCTATAAGGCGGGTGTTCGCCTTTGTTTGGATCAGTTATGATGAAGATGAGCAAGAGCGCCGCTTCTCTTCCGGAAGTAGCTTAGTCATCGCTGTCCTCAGCGCCGTACTGTTACCGCAGTGCTTGCTGCCGTTTCTGAAATGTGACTGTTTCCGTCTTCTCCGAAGGTGCTCGAGATGAGAAGCGCAGAAAACCAAGTGGCCCCTGAGGACCCACGTTTGCTCAACGAGAACAGCAGCGGCCCAGCCCCTCACGGCGAAGCTGCTCGCCACTCTTCGCACGAGTTGCCGCACACCGAGCTCTCCAGTCAGACTCCCTACACGCTGAACTTCAGCTTTGAAGAGCTGAACACGCTGGGCCTGGATGAAGGGGCCCCGCGCCACAGCAACCTCAGCTGGCAGGTACGGACTAGACGCCATTTCTTGCTGACAGGCGCATCAGTCTGTTTTTAATTCGGTGTCCACAGCGCCTTTCTAGCCATTCAGAAATTCACGGGTACCAGAGTGAGCAGGTGGGGCATGCCCGGCTCAAGGAGCCGCGCTCTTGGGGGTCAGGACAAACGGGACAGCAGGACTCGTTCCGTATGAGTAAGAACGGATGGGAGACCGGGCCTGCCGCGTTGCTCTCGCCACGTGAGCCCTGTGCCTGCCACGTCCACTCGTCGTTGCTAAGATGCGTCGTCATGGGAACGCTTACACACGCCATCCCTCTGCGCTCCCGAGGGTGTCTGCGCCTACTGCGGAGCAACACTCGCTTCCTTTTTATCACCTGGTGTTGGGCAACTTGCTTCTTTGGAGGGAGGACAGGTGAGGATGAGGCATCAAAGCAAGTGTCAGAGACGCACCCGAGGAGGCGCGATGGGAGAGCAGGGTGGAAAATCAGCTGGAAGAAACAGGCGGGACGCAGACGAGAGACGCCGGCGAGGGAGGAGACTAGGGAGTGGCCTCAGGGGAGCTGCTGTGGGGTGCGGCCTGGCCACTCCCGAGGGTGTCGACTTAGACAAAAAGTAAATAGATACATGTAAGTAAAATACATTTTGTTTTAGGTAAAATAAAAATATTTCTCTTGTCATTGCTCTACGTAGCCTCCACCTTACTTCCATTTCACCTCTGGGTATTGACCAAGATCAAAATTCGCTTTGTTACAGAAGATAACACTTGACCCTCCTGTGACTGTTTTAAGACCCGCTTAATTTCTTTCCCCCGTGCTTCCTTTGAACATTTCCTAAGAAATCTTCGCCCTCAGCGTCTCCACTCGGTCCCCGCGGGGCCTGGGGACGCAGCCTCACGACAGCAGCGGTCTCTGCTGGTTTTAAGTCGCAGAAAACTTTGTACGCGTAGAAATGACTGAAGACTCGAGGGAGTCTTGTTTATGCGTACCTAATATCCTCCTTATTGTAAATAAAAATATTTATCAATGTGTTAAGCTAGACCAATTGCATTAATATGAATCGCGTGTCAATGAAAAATGACAGTATTTCCCAAAACAGCGAAGTGCAGTGCCATGTGCACGTCTCTGTAGCGAGGAGGGCGAACCCCCATCTGGCCCTGACAGTCTGCGCGCTCCCCTGGACACTGGCAGTGGCAGGCAAAGGCCGTGACGTCACCTGTTCCTCTGAGGGAGGCTGGGGCCTGCGGTGGTGGGGGCCCCGGAGGTGCGCCTGCGCAGAGAGGGCGCGGGGCCTCCTCCAGGCGGCCAGGCGGCCAGGCGGCCAGACGGCCAGACGGCCTTTTCTCCCTGTGGAAGGAGGAGTCAGCTTCAGCTTTGCTGCTTCGTTTAAGCTTTTGCTCGTCTCTTTAAATTCATTCACCTTTTTTCCCAATTTTTTTCTTTCCTAATCTGCACTTTCCTGTGCCATACATTGGCTTTGAGCAGCTGCAGGAACTCCAACCTTAAAACGCCACGCCAGCGACCCCTCTGAAACTGCTTCCTCTGTGCACCACCGACTGGCTGCTGGCCTCGTGGCTTCTGTTTCTGTTCATTTGGCCCCTGCACCTCTCTTTCACTTAGTTCTCGCTGCTTACATTGCTTTTTTCTTCTTTTTTCACTTTCAGTATATTTTCTTTTCATTTTTTTAAAGATTTGTTTGTGCACACAGAACTGGGGTACAGCCAGAGGTGCAGGGATGCTGAGAGACTTCACCAGAGACAGAGCGGGGAGCAGGACAGGTGGATTGACGAAGCCCACTGCTGAGGGGAGCAGCGGGCAGGTCAGGAGAGGTCTGCCGCGCCCTGTGGTCACCTCTGGGGCAGGCGGGGATCGCACTTGCACTGAAGCGGCTGCCGCCAGCTCGCAGTGCTGCGCCCTAACCCGTTGCGCCACCAGGGAGGACCCAAAATCTGTATAAAGCTTTCTAATAACAGCTAAAATTATTCATAAGTTCAGGTTTTGTTAAACTGGGTTATGCAGAATTCCGAGGACTTTGAACACTTTAATCTACATTTATAGTTCCCAACCTGTTGTGTATTACACTTTTTTTATTTTGCTTATTTGAATTTTTCCATCTTTTTCTCCCCACAGTCACAAACTCGCAGAACCCCAAGTCTTTCGAGTCTCAATTCCCAGGATTCCAGCATTGAAATCTCGAAGCTTACCGACAAGGTGCAGGCTGAGTACAGGGATGCCTATCGCGAGTACATCGCTCAGATGTCCCAGTTAGAAGGCGGCGCAGGCTCTGCGGCTGTGAGCGGCAGGTCTTCGCCACATGGTGCATTCTACATGGGCCAGAGTTCGTCAGGGGGCTCCTTTCATTCCAGCCTAGAGCCAGAAAAGGGGAAGGATAGCGACCCAAAGCCAGATGATGGAAGGAAGTCGTTTTTAATGAAGAGGGGAGATGTCGTAGATTATCCCTCATCGGGGGTTTCCACTAGTGAGGCCTCACCCCTGGATCCTATCACTGAAGAAGATGAAAAGTCTGACCAGTCGGGCAGCAAGCTTCTGCCAGGCAAGAAGTCTTCAGAAAGGTCAAGCCTTTTCCAGACGGATTTGAAGCTTAAGGGAGGTGGACTGCGCTACCAGAAACTTCCGAGTGATGAAGATGAGTCTGGGACCGAAGAATCAGATAACACTCCTCTGCTCAAAGAGGACAAGGACAGGAAAGCCGAGGGGAAGGTGGAAAGAGCGTCAAAGTCTCCAGAACACAGTGCTGAGCCGATCCGAACCTTCATCAAAGCCAAAGAGTACTTGTCCGACGCCCTCCTGGACAAGAAGGACTCCTCCGACTCAGGAGTGAGGTCCAACGAAAGTTCTCCCAATCACTCTCTTCACAGCGAGGCAGCTGACGGCTCCCAGCTGGAGAAGGCAAACCTCATAGAACTTGACGACGACAGCCGCTGTGGCAAGCGGGGAATTCCACACAGCCTGAGTGGCCTGCAAGACCCTGGGATAGCGCGCATGTCCATTTGTTCTGAAGACAAGAAGAGCCCTTCCGAATGCAGCTTGACAGCGAGCAGCCCTGAGGAAAACTGGCCCGCGTGCCAGAAGGCCTACAACCTGAACCGCACACCCAGCACCATGACGCTGAACAACAACAGCGCCCCAGCCAATAGAGCCAATCAGAATTTCGACGAGATGGAGGGCGTTAGGGACATGCCCCCGGTCATCTTGAGGCCCGGCTCCAGTGCCAACCCCCCTGCTATTCAGAACGAAAACCTGAAAAGCATGACGCATAAACGGAGCCAGCGCTCCAGCCACACACGGCTCTCGAAGGCTTCTGCCGAGCTCCCCGCCGTCGCCTCTTCTGACAGCACAGGTTTTGGGGAGGAGAGAGAGAGCATTCTTTAGGAATGCCACGCCAGAGCAGGACAGCGTCACTGCACCACGGTGATGCATTCGGCCTGGGCTTGACGGTGCCTGACTGCGTGTCGGCTCTGGACATCTCACCTCACGCGATGAGGGATCGGGAGGCCCCGGGGAGGGAGACACAGTGTCCAGCGAGAAGAGGGTGAGCACAGACGGCCAGCTGTCAGCACCACCTCCTGGGTGACCGGAGCCTTCCCTTCCATCAGCACGTGACCCCGTGAAATTACTGGACCTCAGACTTGAGTGGAAAGCCAGATCTGAAATACTCCACTAAATAGAAAGGGCTTAGTTCGCCAAGGAAAATGAACTGTCGTCATCAAATCGTGGAGGACCATTGTGGCATTAGAGGAACCAGAAGCATAATTGCTTCCATGGGGTAAAGAGAAGATTTACAGCTTCAGGAGCAGCCCAGAGACTGAAGATCAGAGCTCTATAAATTGAAAATTAGTGTCTCTATAAAAGGCAGATCAATTAAAGACTCTAAGTCTTCCATTAAGATATGTGTAATAAAGAGGGCTGAACGTGGATGAGGAGGCGAGCAGAGCCCGAGGAGGACCTGGGGACTGGCCCTCTGCGCTTGTCCAGTGCGGCCGCCCTGCTCCCTGCAAGCTCCTCTCCAGCCGCAGGGCTGGCTCGGCACCGCCTGCCTGCCCGAGACCCCCCGGCCTTCCTGTAGTAATGGCTCATTCCACGTGCCTGGCTTTTCTTGGTGAGCCTAGCAATGAGCGGGAAACCCGAGCTTGTCTGCTGGAAAATGAAGGACGTGGGTAAGAAGAGACACTAGTAAATAGTAATGGATGAGTGAGTGAGGAGATAATTACATCAAGAAGGTCAGTGACAGATGACAGGGGAGTCCTTCATTAGGTGACTCTAATTCCTTGACTCTATAGCAGGGCACACTTGACTTGCTTTGTTCCTAAATCCGTTGTTCAGTCTTCCCATGGTCCTTGTAAGAAAGGTACTTCCGGCGGAGAGTTCAGAAACGTAGAAGAGCAGAGGGGAACGGAAGATGAAACGGCCGCGACCCCCGCTCGTGGCTAGCAGAGCTGTCGCGGGGAAGGGCCGTGTGCCCAGAGGGGCCGCTGCCTTGTCGTTTTGCCGTGACTCACCGTGTAGGGCGCATTTAGGAGAATATGCTCATCCAGTCAAGGCTGAGATGGGGCAGAACTGCCGGTGTGAATTGCCTGAATTAGTGTTAGCTGTGTGGTAACATGAAATTTACGCATTTGCTTAATAAAATCTTTGCTGGACCGGTCATTGCACTTAGTCGTTGGCTCTCTCGGTTTTATTGCCTCGATGGTAGCGTGTAACGTGACCTTGTATAGTGTCCATCTTGCATGACTTGAACAAATGTTTTTAATCAATTAGTTAGGGGAAAGGGCACGATGTTATCGCCATTATGTATTGAAATGTTAAGCCGTGGCTATTTACAGTGTTCAGTAGTTTGCAATATTGTGTAATTAGTAATTAAATCAGAGACAATATTTGGTTCGAGTGAGTAGATGCAACTTCTCTTGTACGTTCTCTATACCGTGTGTGAAGTGGATACCGAGTGTTCAGTGGGTTAGTCCTCTATTAAAGTATTAAGGTACAGAAAACAATAAAAAAATTGCATGCTGCTCTGACTCGCGAATTTTTATTCACTACAGTGATGATGGTTCACATTTTGATTAAATACTGAAAACTACTTTCTGTGTGATTTGGCATCTTGTGAAGATGCTGACGGCCCTCCGGCTCCCGCACGAGTCGGAGCGGCCTGCACCGGCCCGCTCAGAGGGCCTGGCTCTGTGGCTGGCCGCACGGGCCGGCAGCACGCCCCGCTCGGGGCACGGGAGCGGCGAGGAGGCTGGCCACAGCCGCGGAGAGCTCGAGGACGTTGTTGCGTGAGGAGTCAGGCAAAGTTTGTTTTTCGTACAGTTTACAGAAGCTGACAAGGCAGATGGGTTACTGAGTCACGTCGTCCTTTTGAATCTGTTTTATCTAAATATATAACTCAGTCTGATTCTCACATGCAGAAGACTGCCTTAGCTGGGGGAAAAGTGATAGAGAACGTTGCTGCTCTAAACTTGCTAGTCTCTGCGACTGTTACCATATTTTCTCTCCGGAGCCTCACCACGCCTTCGAAACCATTTCACCTCCACTTCACGCCACGGCTCTTCTGTTCACGCAGCAGAACACTGAGCCAGCCTGGTCCCGGAGGCGGGTGTGCTAAGGCAGCCTTCCTGCAGGGCGGGCGGACGGGCAGGGCGGCTGCCCTGCGCTGCTCGTTCGGGGGCCCGGGCGGACCCGGGGCTCTCCAGCATTCGTAACCGAGCCAGCATGAAGAACGCCTTTGCTAAAATCCTCCTCTGCGTGTTACAGTGCTAGGTGATGTACACTTATAATTTGGACTTTTTTTTTTAAATAAATACTAACGATGAGAAAAAAATATTTGAATGAAATTAGTCTTTGGACTAAGATACTAAAAGTCCCAAGACCACATACTGTTTTATGACACCAGCAGCTCTCAGCCTAGTTGGTATCCCAGAGTGAAAACCCCGAGTTCTTGCTGACTCGAGTAAGTCAGCATAATGACCAGGGGAAAAACGAGAGGGCCTGGGCCCTAAGCTCACAGGCGCGTGGCGTGGGAAGGGCGAGCATGTGACAGAAAAGGGAGCGTGGGATCAAGCTCCTGTGGGGAGTGCTGGGCGTGGATGTGCTGCAGGTGGAGAGGCTTTTGCCTGGGGCAGGGTGCAGGTTGGCGGGTGTGCTGGGCTAGTGAGAGATGGCAGTCTTCATTTCCAGGTTGCAGCCCCCTTCGTACCTTAGGATCTTAACCATAGGCCACAGTTTTGCAAACAACAAATAGAAAACCGTGCAACGGAGAGCAAGCCCCGGGTGGTGTCCCAGTGGCTCCTCATGGGAAAGGTTGAGTGTCCTTGGTAGAGACTCATCAGCTGGAAAGCGAACTTAGAATCTTAGAGGGTGTCAGACCCTCTCATGACGAGGAACAAGACGCGGACCTCGAGAGAGAGGTCTTCAGAGGACCAGTTTAAGGTACATGAAAGGCGTCTGACGCCAACTGCTGTGATCGATTACCAATCAGAATGTGTAGCTCGCTGCCTTAAGGAGCAGCGTGCGCCAAGGAGCCCCCGACTGTCACTTGGAGGTGGCTACCATCACCTGCATCGTCAAAGCTTTCCTGGGCGCCGGCCCTTCCGTGATCCTGGATAAGAGATTCGTTCACTGTGACACTTCTCTTTGGTTCTCAGGAGTAATTGAAAATATGAATTCGTTTGAACTAAATGCACATTTATATAAAATTTTAGGAGAGCACCCACCAAGATGTTCAGAAAGAAAGTATGTTGCATGGTGCAACCAGCTTTCCATGCACCAGTTCTGTGGCCAAATCAAACTCATTTTCAGAATTACCATTTTCTTGACACGTGCCAAGTTTCCGCTGTATTTCTGGGCACTTATAGAATGCATTTTGCTATATTTCAACAGAAATTAAGTGTTTTCTTTTTTTGAAGAAATTATCTGCTTTGCGCTCCTCCCTTTACCTGAATTCTTTTCACTTTTTCTCTCTCAAGTTCTTTTTAAGTGCATAAGTGCATATACTCATCCTGCTTTACCACAAAGCACCCTTGAGCATGATCAGTGGAAAGAACCTCAAGATAGCGTTGAGGCTGGACCCCAGCACAGGCCTGTGCTGGACTCAGAGCTTGGAGCGGGAGTGAAGCGCACTGCTGTGGCCCCACGTCACCCTCGGGGCTTGAAAGAATTGGGCTTTTGAAAGCCTTGAGGCTGCATGGGAGCAAGGGTGCCTTACAGGGCGCCTGCTCCCCGCCTCCCCCCCACCCAGTGCTGTAGCCGCCTTCCACCTGGCTGGCCTTCACCTGGCTGGCGCTCACCTGGCCCTCACCTGGCTGGCGCTCACCTGGCCCTCACCTGGCTGGCCCTCACCTGGCTCTCACCTGGCTGGCCCTCACCTGGCTCTCACCTGGCTGGCCCTCACCTGGCTCTCACCTGGCTGGTGCTCACCTGGCTGGCTCTCACCTGGCTGGCTCCCGTAAAGTTCTGTGGTTGTGGCTCGGAAACTTTCAGGCCACAGGTTGGCTTCAGTGAGCGTCAGCTTTCCGGGACGGTGCCCGCTTGGGTCCCACCCAGTAAGTGCCAGCAGGTGAAGCGCTGTATGTGCTGCGTGGCGGCGTCTCAGTACCCCCCTGTGCCCGTGGTCTTGGCGGTCCTTGCTGGAGAAGCCCAACGAAGCAGATGCTACTAGAACAGCTCCACATTTTACTCTGGGCACTGAAAATCCCTTTTGGTCAGCTCAGCCGCAGGGTCACCTGCACCGCAGCCGAGGCTGGAGGGCTCGGGCGGGTCCGGGGGGGCTCGGGAGAGCTCGGGCGGGCTCGGGCGGGCTCG